CAAATTAAAACAGGTTACCTAGCAAATAAACAAAAATGCAATCTAAGATTAATATACTAAAGATTAGATCTGAGTAGCAAATTCTTACCCTAAATGATGATTTTAGATGGCTGCAGGCTCTTAAAAGGCAAGCTGCACTTGCTTGCAGCTTAATACCTCAGGTTTTCTGGCCTAGAAATCCCTCTAGCCTGGGTCCAGCCCTTCCCCTCAGTTCAGTCCTTGTTCCTCAGGTGTTTCCAGGAGTCTCTTTGGGTGGGGAGTCAGTGAAGAACCACGATGATGTCACTCTCCTGCCTTAAATAGCTTTTGCCTATGGTGGGAACCCCTTGTTTCTAAGCTTGGTTCCCATGCCTTTCAGTGGAAAAACACTGGTATTCCAAGATGGAGTCCAGTACCAGGTGATCTGGTCACATGCCCCTGAAGTGTCATAGTAGTCATGACTCTGAGGCTGTTTGAAGCATCCTCAGGAAGGCTCCCAGGTTGGGAGATAAACTTCTTCAAAGGCCTATTGTTTTCTCTAATGGCCCTTCCCAGTCAGCCGTCTAGACTGATTGCATTCTGCCTAGTTGGCGTTCCCCAGGTGTAAACACATTTGTAATAGATGCATAGACAATATTCCTAACTTCAGATACCAAAATGATACATGCATACAAATAGGATAATCATATTCAGTAAATCATAACCTTTTCAATGATACCTCACATGACCTATCTTGCATAAAATACCTTATAGTTATGCCATAATCACATTATAATAATATCTCTATGAAGAATATGGATCGTAGTGTCACAGGGTACAACCAACAAAAAATAATTATAGTAAAATACTTTAGTCAGGTGTCAATAAACAAAAAAATTATATAGCTACACACAGGAGGTTTGTTATTGAAGTAAACAGGATCAGGATTTGGCTGATAAAAATGATAGCTCTGACGATTAACATTTGATGATCTGCAATAACTAAAGAGGTTTGGCTACCGTAAAATAAAATAATTGTGCATTGCTGTGAGTTAGTAATCCACTTACCCATTTAAAAACAAAATAGAGAACTAAAAATAATTATGTTTGTAAATTAACCATGTTGCCATTACAACATACAATTATAATGCCACAAGTACTTAATGCATTTTACAAAAGTAAGAAAAAGCAAAGGGAAATAAATTATGCATGTATATATATCAGTACTAAATAACCTAAAAAGAAATTGAATTTGGACTTTGAATGACTCAACACAAATTAATAGTGCACAATCTATGTAACCACACAATTTTATCAACCTGTCCCATTCCCCAATTGTCTGTTATATCTACTTGTCTTTCTCATTGTTTCCTTGCGTTCCCTTTGTCTGTCCGTCTTCACCTGTTGTCTCTTGAGCTCTTTGGGGGCAGGAACTGCCTTTTTGATTGTGTTTGTACTGTGCCTAGCACACTGGAGTTCTCGTCCATGGCTGGGACTTCTGAAGTACAAATAAAATAATAATAAATAATTAATTGTTATATCTTGTTATATCTTAAATTAAGCCCTGATTCTGAAAGTGGACCTTTGCACCTGTACTGAGGTCTCATAATGTCACTTGTATTTCACTCCATTGCATTGATTTAAATAAGAACATAAGAACAGCCATACCGGGTCAGACCAAAGGTCCATCTAGCCCAGTATCCTGTCTTCCAACAGTGGCCAATGCTAGGTGCTTCAGACGGAATGAACAGAACATGTAATCATGAAGTGATCCATCCCCTGTCATCCATTCTCAGCTTCAGGCAAACAGAGGCTAGGGACACCATGCCTGCCTATCCTCCATTAATTTATCTAGTTCTATTTTGAACGCTGTTATACTCTTGGCCTCCTTCAAAACATCCTCTGGCAAAGAGTTTCACAGGTTGGCTGTGCATTGTGTGAAGAAATACCTCCTTCTGTTTGTTTTAAACCTGCTGTCCATTAATTTCATTTGATGACCCCTAGTTCTTGTGTTATGAGAAGGATAAATAACATTTCCTTATTTACTTTTTCCATACCAGTCATGATTTTATAGACCTCTATCACATCCCCTCTTAGTTGTCTCTCTTCCAAGCTGAAAAGTCCCAGTCTGATTAATCACTCCGCATATGGAAGCTGTTCCATACCCGTCATAATTTTTGTTTCCCTTTTCTGTACCTTTTCCAATTGTAATATATCTTTTTGGAGATGGGGCGACCACATCTGCGCACAGTATTCAATCCATTTATACAGAGGCAATATGATATTTTCTGTCTTATTATCTATCCCTTCCCTAATGATTCCCAACATTCCCTAATGATTCCCAACGTTCACTTTTTTGACAGCTGCTGCACATTGAGTGGATGTTTTCAGAGAACTATCCATTAGGACTCCAAGATCTCTTTCTTGAGTGGTGACAGCTAATTTAGATTTTATATGTACAATTGGGATTATGTTTTCCAATGTGCATTATTTTGCATTTATCAACATAGAATTTCATCTGCCATTTTGTTGCCCATTCACCCAGTTTTGTAAGATCCCTTTTTAACTCTTTGCAGTCTGCTTTGGACTTAAGTATCTTGGGTAGTTTTGTATCATCTGCAGATTTTGCCACCTCACTGTTTACTCCTTTTTCCAGATCATTTATGAATATGTTGAACAGTACAGGTCCCAGTTCAGACCCTGGGAAACACCACTATTTACCTTTCTTCCTTCTGAAAACTGGCCATTTATTCCTCCTCTTTGTTTCCTGTCTTTTAACCAGTTACTGATCCATGAGAGGACCTTCTCACTTATCCCATGATAGTTTACTTTGCTTCAGAGCCTCTGGCGAGGGATTTTGTCAAAGGCTTTCTGAAAATCTAAGAACACTCTGGCCACTGGATCACCTGGATCCACATGCTTGTTGACCTCCCTCCAAGAATTCTAGTAGATTGGTGAGGCATGTTTTCTCTTTACAGAAACCATGTTGACTCTTCCCCAAGAAATCATGTTAATCTATGTGTTTGATAATTCTGTTCTTTACTATAGTTTCAACCAATTTGCCCAGTACTGAAGTTAGATTTACCAGCCTGTAATTGCTGGGATTACCCCTGGAGCCTTTTTAAAAAAATCATTGTCACATTAGCTATCCTCTAGTCATCTGGTACAGAAGCTAATTTAAATGATAGGTTACATACCACAGTTAGTAGCTCTGCAATTTCACATTTGAGTTCCTTCTGAACTCTTGGGGGAATCCCATCTGGTTCTGGTAACTTATTACTGTTTATTTTAGTAATTTGTTCCAAAACCTCCTCTAATGACACCTCAATCTGATACAGTTCCTCAGATTTGTCATCTGAAGAGTGGCTTAGGTTTGAGAATCTCCCTCACGTGCTCAGCTATGGGGACGAATGCAAAGAATTCCATTTAGTTTCTCCACAATGGCCTTATCATCCTTGAGTGCTCCTTTAGCATCTGGATCATCCAGTGGCTCCACTGGCTGTTTAGCAGGCTTCCTGCTTCTGATGTACTTACAATTTTTTTTGCAGTTACTTACAGTTACTTTTTTGGTCTTTGGATAGCTGTTCTTCTAATTCTTTTCTGGCCTTCCTAATTATTCTTTTACACTTCACTTGCCAGAGTTTATGCTCCTTTCTATTTTCCTCAATAGGATTTAACTTCCACTTTTAAACAATGCCTTTTTGCCTCTAACTGCTTTTTTTACTTTGTTGTTTAGCCATGGTGGAACTTTTTTGGTCCTCTTACTATGTTTTTTAATTTGGGATATACACTTAAATTGAGTGTCTCTTATGGTGTATTTAAAAAGTTTCCATGCAGTTTGCAGGGATATACTTTTTGACACTGTTCCTTTTAATTTTTGTTTAACTAACTTCCTAATTTTTCTGTAGTTCCCCCTTTCTGAAATTAAATGCTACAGTGGTGGGCTGCTTTGGTATTCTTGCTCCATCCCCCCTCCCTCTGTCGCTTGCTCTCCCTCACCCTCACTCAATTTCACTCGGCTGGGGCAGGGGGTTGGAGTGTGGGAGGGGGGTGAGGGCTCTGGGGTGGGGCCAGGGATGAGGGGTTGGGGTGTGGGAGAGGGCTCCGGGCTGGGGCAGGGGGTTCGTGTGTGTGGCGTATGGGTTCTGGGTGGGGGATGCGGGCTCTGAGTGGGGCCAGAAATGAGGGGTTCAGGGTATGGAAGAGGGCTCCAGGCTGGGGCTAGGGTGACCTGACAGCAAGTGTGAAAAATCGGGACAGGGGATGGGGGGTAATAGGAGCCTATATAAGAAAAAGACCCAAAAATTGGGACTATCCCTATAAAATCAGGACATCTGGTCACCCTAGCTGGGGCAACGGGTTGAGATGCATGGAGGTTGAGGGCTCTGGTTGGGGGTGCAGGCTCTGGGGTGGAGCCGGGGATGAGGGGATTGGGGTGCAGGAGGAGGCTCTGGGCTGGGGCCAACAGGTTCAGAGTGCGGGCTCCAGCTGGGGGTGTGGGCTCTGGGGTGAGGCTGGGGATGAGGAGTTTGGGATGCAGTGGGCGGGGCCTCAGGCCTGGGGCAGGGAGTTGGAATGTGTGTGGGGTGCGGGCTCTGGGAGGGAGTTTGGATGCGGGAGAGGACTCGGAGCTGGGGCAGGGGGTTGGCGTACGGGAGGGGGTGTGGGATCCCCAAGGAACTTACAGTGGCTCCCAGGAATTGGCCGCCAGATCCCTGCAGCCCCTTGGCAGATGGGAGGCCAGGGAGGCTCCACATTGTGCCCTCGCAATCGCAGGTGCCACCCCTGCAACTCCCATTGGTCACAGTTCCTGGCCAATGGGATCTGCGGAGCCAGCTCTCGGGGTGGGAGCAGCGCATGGCACCTCCCTGGTCGCCCATGCGCTTAAGGGCCGCAAAACAGAACCAGGGTAGGCAGGGAGCCTGCCTTAGCCTCAGGCCCCTGCTGCGCTGCCGACCGGACTTTTAATGGCCCGGTCGGCAGTGCCGACTGGAGCCACCAGGGTCCCGGTTGAAAACCGGATGCCTGGCCACCCTGGGTGAGGTATGGAAGAAATGAATGTCCACATGCGGGCGTAAATGGAGGGAACCGTGTGCGAGGCTTGTTGGTTGGCAAGAAGTGCGTGGGGGAAGCGAGCAGCTGTGCGCAGGGCGTGGCTTGCACGGGACAGGTGAGTGCCGGCGGGGGGAGGGGAGGGCCTGCAGGGGGAGTTGGGCGGGGGCGGCATGGAGAGCTGGGGGGGTGGGGTGGGGTGGGGGAGTGAGGCTGCGGGATGCGGGGGGGGGTGTTTGAGAAGGGTGTAGGGGGAGCAGAGGATGTTGGTTGGTTGGTTGGTTGGTTGGGGGGGGAGGGCAGGTTGGCTGGGGCGGGGCTGCGGGTCGCGCTCTCTCAGGCCACGCTCCCATGAAAGTCAAGGGGGCGGCGCGTTTTCCTCCCCCCGCCCCGCGGCCTCACGCCCCGCCCTTCCCCCCCGTCCGTCAGCGGGCTCCGCGCCGGCGCCTCCCATGTGACCGGAAGGACCGCGGGAGCCGCCTCCGGAGGAGGCTGGGAGTCGGGGCGGGACGCGGGCGGAGACCCGCCGCCACCAGCGAAGCCGCCCCGGAGCCCGCGGTCCTGGCCCTGACAGCCCGGGTAAGCGTCGGCCCCTCCCCCGCTGGGAGCCTCTTCCCCGGCCGGGGCCGCGTTCAACGCCCCGGGGCGGAGCTGAGCCGCCAACCGCCGCCGCCCGGCCCCGGCCCTGTGTGCAGGGCAGCGCCGGCCCGAGGCGGGAAGGGGAGCCGGGCGTGGGCTGCGCTCCCGGCGCTGCAGGGGAACTTGCTGGAGCCATTTTGTGTGGCCGGAGCTGGTTCGTCAGCGGGTGCCCGGGGCTGTGGGTGCAACTCGTGCCTGAGAGCCGCAGGGAGCTGCCCTGCCCGGGGCGGGGCGGGGCGGGCGCTACGGGGTAAAGACCGGAGAGCCGAGGTGGGGGCGGTGGTAGCGTCCGTTGGACCAACATCTGCCGGGGAGAGAGAGAGAGAAGCTTTTGAGCCACGCAGGGTGATCTTCTCTGGGGCTGGGACAGGTGCTCCCAGCGGAACGGTTAGCCCCTATTGCCAGGGACCCTTCAAGGCAGAGTGACCCCTTAACATCTCTGCGGTCAGGGGACAGAAAGGGAAGTTAGTGGGTTGTAGATTGTTGTAATAAGCCCTAAAGCCTGTGTGTCAATTCAATCCATGATTTTTAGCGACTAGCAGAATTATTAATTTAAGCTCTTAGGCTCATCTTTTGAAAGGGTTGTGCACCTTTCCTTTGAGGATAAGGACCTCTAGGTCAGTTAGAGAGTGATCCCTTTGTGGGAAGTGTTCACCCACGGGGAATAGGGTGTTTTTGTTTGATCACCACATCTGCCTTGTGTGCTTAATATCTTAGGGCAGACAGGGCTACAACTACACTGCATACTATATTGTACTGACTAATCAATGTGGCAAAGCCTGAAGAGGGGGGAGGCTTTCCAATGATATCGCCAGAAAGTTCTTAATTTATATTTAAAATCAGAATATTGTATTTTTTATGTATGTTGAATGTAATGGAAACAATACTAATTACAATGGATGCTACCTTGTATCTTATTTAGGGAGCACACTACTGATATTCAGTAGGGAACAACTTCCCTTGGTATTTCTGAGAGAGATGGAATCTGGCACTTACAAGGAACAGCACGTTCCGGGGTACATATTCCAGGGCTATGTGCTTAAGACTCAACATGCTGCAAAACATTTAATCAGATATACTTTTAAAAGATGTAGCATACAGATTGTACTTAAGTTGAAAAAACTTTCTCTGCAACCGTACTCCTGTATAGCCCAATCACTTATTTTCTCTAGGAACTAGATCTATATTGCCAGAGAGCATCTTCCCCTGGACTTGCATGATTTGATTGTAGCACCTTACCTTACAGAAAGATTGTATTTCTCTTTTAGTTACTTGAGTATCTGTTTTTTATCCCCCTTCATTCTAAAGTTTTAAAAAATAATAGTCTTGGTCAGGACCAGAATTGTATAGCTCTCCTACTGGCAATCAGCATTTTTACCCTGGGCTACAGGAACTTTGAGTGAATATTGACAGCTTCAGGTGAGAAGGCCAGTCTCAAGTCTCTAGGGGCTGGCTTTTCACTCTAGGCTACAGGCTGTTCTTCAGGTTTTTGGTTTGGCAGCCAACCTGGGTGCAATTCTTTTACTGTATACATTGTAAAAAGAAAAGGAGTACTTGTGGCACTTTAAAGACTAACAAATTTATTAGAGCATAGGCTTTCGTGAGCTACAGCTCCCTTCATCGGCTCCTTCTGATAATATTGTGGGACAATGTGATTACATTGCCCTAGAGATTCACATTGTCATTCTGAGGGTCTATTTTCATTGCTTAAAGTAAGAAATCTAATTTAAGCCCTATGTGAAGAGGCAATTCTAAAATAGCACAGATAAACTTTTCAGTTTGGGATTTAATTGGCAATTCCTGGAAAATGCTGTGTGTAAGAGCACGTCACATTCCGTTACCTTTCAGCCTAGAGGAAAATTTGGCCAGGTTGATCTCATGGTGAGATTCTTAACCAGTATAGTTGGTATTTTGGAATAGGCTCTCCTCTTTCATTCAGGTACACATTTATTTTGATCAATTTTAAATGATCTAGAAGGTACTGATTGTGAAGGCAGAGCAGCAAACAACATAGTCAAAAACAGCTTGGTAATGCTTCTACTTAACATCATTCTGTGCGTGACTGTTGTCACTATTAGCTGACAAGCCCACTGAGTTTTGAATCAGTTTGTCTTTTTTAAATGTGACTTATATGTTTCTAGGTCTCAGAGTACATCTGCAAAGCAAAAAGAAAAGGAGTACTTGTGGCACCTTAGAGACTAACCAATTTATTTGAGCATGAGCTTTCGTGAGCTACAGCTCACTTCATCAGATGTTTACCGTGGAAACTGCAGCAGACTTTATATACACACAGAGAATATGAAACAATACCTCCTCCCACCCCACTGTCCTGCTGGTAATAGCTTATCTAAAGTGATCAACAGGTGGGCCATTTCCAGCACAAATCCAGGTTTTCTCACCCTCCACCCCCCCACACAAATTCACTCTCCTGCTGGTGCTAGCCCATCCAAAGTGACAACTCTTTACATAATCAAGTCGGGCTATTTCCTGCATAGATCCAGGTTTTCTCACATCCCCCCACCCCCATACACACACAAACTCACTCTCCTGCTGGTAATAGCTCATCTAAACTGACCACTCTCCAAGTTTAAATCCAAGTTAAACCAGAACATCTGGGGGGGGGGGGGGGGGTAGGAAAAAACAAGAGGAAACAGGCTACCTTGCATAATGACTTAGCCACTCCCAGTCTCTATTTAAGCCTAAATTAATAGTATCCAATTTGCAAATGAATTCCAATTCAGCAGTTTCTCGCTGGAGTCTGGATTTGAAGTTTTTTTGTTTTAAGATAGCGACCTTCATGTCTGTGATTGCGTGACCAGAGAGATTGAAGTGTTCTCCGACTGGTTTATGAATGTTATAATTCTTGACATCTGATTTGTGTCCATTTATTCTTTTACGTAGAGACTGTCCAGTTTGACCAATGTACATGGCAGAGGGGCATTGCTGGCACATGATGGCATATATCACATTGGTGGATGTGCAGGTGAACGAGCCTCTGATAGTGTGGCTGATGTTATTAGGCCCTGTGATGGTGTCCCCTGAATAGATATGTGGGCACAATTGGCAACGGGCTTTGTTGCAAGGATAAGTTCCTGGGTTAGTGGTTCTGTTGTGTGGTATGTGGTTGTTGGTGAGTATTTGCTTCAGGTTGCGGGGCTGTCTGTAGGCAAGGACTGGCCTGTCTCCCAAGACTTGTGAGAGTGTTGGGTCATCCTTTAGGATAGGTTGTAGATCCTTAATAATGCGTTGGAGGGGTTTTAGTTGGGGGCTGAAGGTGACCGCTAGTGGCGTTCTGTTATTTTCTTTGTTAGGCCTGTCCTGTAGTAGGTAACTTCTGGGAACTCTTCTGGCTCTATCAATCTGTTTCTTTACTTCTGCAGGTGGGTATTGTAGTTGTAAGAAAGCTTGACAGAGATCTTGTAGGTGTTTGTCTCTGTCTGAGGGGTTGGAGCAAATGCGGTTGTATCGCAGAGCTTGGCTGTAGACGATGGATCGTGTGGTGTGGTCAGGGTGAAAGCTGGAGGCATGCAGGTAGGAATAGCGGTCAGTAGGTTTCCGGTATAGGGTGGTGTTTATGTGGCCATTGTTTATTAGCACTGTAGTGTCCAGGAAGTGGATCTCTTGTGTGGACTGGACCAGGCTGAGGTTGGTGGTGGGATGGAAATTGTTGAAATCATGGTGGAATTCCTCAAGGGCTTCTTTTCCATGGGTCCAGATGATGAAGATGTCATCAATATAGCGCAAGTAGAGTAGGGGCTTTAGGGGACGAGAGCTGAGGAAGCGTTGTTCTAAATCCGCCATAAAAATGTTGGCATACTGTGGGGCCATGCGGGTACCCATAGCAGTGCCGCTGATCTGAAGGTATACATTGTCCCCAAATGTGAAATAGTTATGGGTAAGGACAAAGTCACAAAGTTCAGCCACCAGGTTAGCCGTGACATTATCGGGGATAGTGTTCTTGACGGCTTGTAGTCCATCTTTGTGTGGAATGTTGGTGTAGAGGGCTTCTACATCCATAGTAGCCAGGATGGTGTTATCAGGAAGATCACCGATGGATTGAAGTTTCCTCAGGAAGTCAGTGGTGTCTCGAAGGTAGCTGGGAGTGCTGGTAGCGTAGGGCCTGAGGAGGGAGTCTACATAGCCAGACAATCCTGCTGTCAGGGTGCCAATGCCTGAGATGAGGGGGCGCCCAGGATTTCCAGGTTTATGGATCTTGGGTAGTAGATAGAATATCCCAGGTCGGGGTTCCAGGGGTGTGTCTATGTGGATTTGATCTTGTGCTTTTTCAGGAAGTTTCTTGAGCAAATGCTGTAGTTGCTTTTGGTAACTCTCAGTGGGATCATAGGGTAATGGCTTGTAGAAACTCGTGTTGGAGAGCTGCTGAGCAGCCTCTTGTTCATATTCCGACCTATTCATGATGACAACAGCACCTCCTTTGTCAGCCTTTTTGATTATGATGTCAGAGTTGTTTCTGAGGCTGTGGATGGCATTGCGTTCCGCATGGCTGAGGTTAAGCAGTTAAACATCTATGGCTAACAAAGCAGTTAAACATCTATGGCTAGTCTGGGTCAGCCGGCTTGGGTTTGCAGGGTTTGGGCTGTGGAGCTGGAAATTGCTAGTGAGGAGGGTCCCTGACTCCTAGAGCCTGAGCTCCAGCCCGAGCCCTAAGGTCTCCTCGGCAAGTTTTAGCCCTGCAGCAGTGTGTCTTCCCTTCTGTCTCTCTCTCTCCACTCCCCCCCTCCCCCTGCGCTGCCTGAGTTGGGGGGGGGGGGGGAGGAGGTGTATTGCTGCAGTGTAGACAGAGCCCTAGGCCCAGATTTAAAAACCTGAATACCTTTAATTATGCCCCTAAAGCTATTTTTAAGCATCTGAATAGAAGTGACCTGATTTTTCAAAGGTCCTTAGCACTCGCAACTCACTGTCTTAAATTGAAGTTGCGGCTGTTTATCTCCTTTTAATCAGGCCACTTCTATGCAGATGATTAAAAATGGATTTTGGAGTCTAACTTTAATGACCCAGGTTTGAAAACACTGGCCCCAAATAGTTTCTGGTGGTGTCTTTCTGAGAAGGCTTACATTTTTCTGTGATCTAGTGGTTCAAAAGTAGACTGTTTTGGGAACATTTATGGAAACTTTCATATTTAATGCTTTGATATTTATTCACTGAATGATGAATAGTAGTGTTTTGGTGGTACTGGTGGCCTTGTACTTGTGCAGGTAGCTGTTTAGGACACATGCATTTTATTTGACTTTATTTTTTTTGTTTACCTCTAAGTACGTGTGGACTAATAATCATTACTTGTGACTTCCCCCTCAGGCCTCTAACTCTAAAACATATTAAAATGATGTTCAGAGTAGCATCAGTCTGTACACTGACTAAAGACCAGTCAGAATTCTCAGGTTTTAGGGACAAATTAGAGGGAAATTGCTCAAGACTCATCAAGTCTAGACATGATAAATCAACTATGAATGCGCTCCCATCAACTCCGGTGACTCCACCAGGGCGAGAGGCGCAGGTGGAGTTGACGGGAGAGCGTCAGCCATCGACTTACCGTGGTGTCTTCACTGCGGTAAGTAGATCTAAGTATATCGACTTCAGCTAGTGTAGACCAGGCCTAAGTTTGTCACCCACTCTGCTTCCTCACCAACTCTGTTAGGGAGGGATGTGAGAGAGCTGCTTTCTGGTGGTTCACAATTCTTAAGGACAAAGGCCTCTTTGAGTAGGAAAAGTTAGTCACTACTCCGATTTCATCGATGACGCGCATGCTTGTTTGCCTAATATTTGGTATGTTAAATGGGAAATTAACTTTAGTGTTCCAAATTTAATTTGGATATAATGAAACTATAATTGACACCTGATCTACATTGGTATCAAACAACCACGCTGTGGGTTGGATCCATCCCCTTGTAGTAGTTATCCATATGTAGGAGGATCCTGTGTAAATCATGATTTCCATGAAATCATGTAAATGCCTCCAAATCATGATCTTTCCATTTTTTATAAAAAGGAAAATATCTACAATGAAGTCTTCACTACAAAAAAATTATTTATCTTATAGAGCTGTGTGAAAATATCATTCAGCCCTTGAAACTGACCACATTTAGTTGTAAAATTAATTCCATGCAAACTTTGTGAATTCAGTACTTGGCCATTTACACTATAGTGAATTTTCTAAAAAATTAAAATAAAAACTGTGATTTGCACAGGTCCCGATCCATGAGATTCACAATCTGCGAATATATCGGTCATATAGGGAAAAGTGCTCATAGATAATGGTTGCGAAGAGAAGCTTCTGAAGTGAATCAGTGCAGTAGTGTGACCAATAACTCTGAGAACAGGGAACAGTACCTATGAATTTTTGTTTCAGAGTAGCAGCCATGTTAGTCTGTATTCGCAAAAAGAAAAGGAGTACTTGTGGCACCTTAGAGACTAACCAATTTATTTGAGCATAAGCTTTCATGAGCTACAGCTCGACTGTAGCTCACGAAAGCTTATGCTCAAATAAATTGGTTAGTCTCTAAAGTGCCACAAGTACTCCTTTTCTTTTTATTAATTTTTGTGGTGTTGACTTTTAAACCTCATGAGAACACTTTGTGGGCCACATTTTCAAATAAATTGGGTGTGCAATTATGTGGGTAAATCTAGTAATTGCAAATGCAGATAGTCAAATAGAGTTCAGAAATAGTAGTGTTCTTAATTTTTCCTCATAGAATGAAACTGACACTTTCCAGTTAAAACGTAGTTACTATGTGAGGGTACCATATGGCTCTTTATTTTTGTGCAAAGCTCCCGTTATCTGGGAGATTTGCGATGGATTGTGTGTAGTGTGTTACTCCAGCTTTAACTTGAGCCCTCAGGCTATAATTAAAAATATAATTTGACCTTCTCAAAATGAGTTTTGAAAGATGTGATGTACACTAAAAGTACTAAACTGTTTCAATATATTGGAATATGTAAATTGCAGTTTTGGGTTATTTTGAACTGCTGTTTTGCAGCACCAACATTTTAAGTTATTTAGTGTTTATTTCTTCTGCTTTAAAATGGATTCTTTGTGGCTGACTAAACTAGACCTAGACTTTTTATCTTGCAAATCACTTTTCTTTAAATTGAGAAAAAGCAATAATTGTCTCTGCAGCATTTAGTGCCCCCAAGTTTCTTGTCTGGATTTTTTCAATTTTTAGCATGCTATGAAAAGTTACTTCTACAGTGCCCAAAATATGCTGGTGTCTTTACATGTAGACACAGAATAAGGTGCTTGCTTGCTGTTGTGTTACACTAGTGACCACTTGGGAGCTCCATTGGTTGAAGGGTAAAACTAGAAAGTAACAATCTAGCAATTGGAAGAGGCCTGTTTGTTTATGCACCAGAGTGACCAGCTGTAGTCTCAAATAAGCTATGCTTTGAATTAACCAAAATGCTTCCATTTTCTCTGCACCCTTTACACATACTACTTCAATTTATTCAGTCCCCTAAAGGTTTTCCTTTCTTCCTTTTCAAGGTGACTTCTTTTGAGTCAGAAGTATGTTTTGAATATACTCACCACAATCTAGGTTGCTCGAGGGTTATATGTTGTATATTCTCTTTGTGCACTGCCTTTTAACAGTAAAAGATGTTATGTGCATATTGAGGGTGGAATATGCCAATGATTGGAAGCAGAAGATTTCTGAATGGCTAATTTTATAAAGGCATTCCAAATTGTCATTAACTTAAATTTGATCAAAGAGGCATGAAGTGCTATGTGAGAGATGTTAACTTATCAACCTAAAGGCTGTCCTTCATTAGAAGTTTGATGATAGCCAAGCCTTTTACATATTAAAGACAGAGGGTAATGATTTCAGAATTGACTAAGGCCATTGAAAGTCAGTGGGACTTAGATGCTCTTATTATTTGTATTGTAATAGCACCTAGGAGCCCCAGTCATTGTCAGGGCCCTATTGAGTTGGATGCTGTTGGCAATTTTGTCCAATTTCTAACAAATTGCTTTGGAATTTGGTGTTAGTGGCTGCTTTGTTTCAGGAGCAGCCTTACAATGACATACTGCAGTTTGTTTTTTATGTCTTTCATATTCGCTATTGTGCTAACTTAGCCAACTGTATTGTACTCAAACTAATGGTTGCTACTTGATTCAAGTATATATTTCTGAGAGCGCTGACAATCTGATGTTCTGTGTTGATAACTTTTTTGCGTGATGATGTTTGGCCTTCCTTTTGTGTGGATGTGAATAAAATGCTATTTCTCTCTCCCTTCCAAAGCAGATCATCCAGAAGACACAATGAGTTTGAAGGCCTTCGAGCTCGTTCCCGCTGTTGAGCGGGAGATGCTCATGGGAGACAAAGCTCGAATCAACGTTGAATGCATTGAGTGTTGTGGGAAAAACCTCTATATTGGAACCAATGACTGCTTTGTCTATCACTTTCTACTGGAAGAGAAGATATCAGCTGAAAAAGTAACTTTTGCTGCCACCAAACAATTGCATAAATACTTGGGCTTCAAGAAAGCAGTCAGTGAGCTGAAAGCAGCTTCAGCACTCAACAGGCTACTGGTGCTTTGTGACAACACAATAACATTAGTTAACATGATGAACCTGGAACCTATCCCCACTGGAGCTAGAATCAAGGGAGCTGTGACATTCACAGTAAATGAAAACCCTATGAGTGGGGACCCTTTTTGTGTAGAAGTTTGCATTATCTCAGTGAAACGGCGGACCATCCAGATGTTTATGGTGTATGAGGATAGAGTCCAGATAGTGAAGGAAGTGTCCACTCCGGAGCAACCCTGTGCCGTGGCTGTAGATGGTCATTACTTGTGCCTTGCTCTCACTACACAATATATCATATTGAATTATAATACCGGCATCTCCCAGGATCTCTTCCCTTATTGCAGTGATGAGAAACGGCCAATTGTGAAAAGGATAGGCAGACAGGAGTTTCTGCTGGCTGGACCTGGAGGGTTAGGTGAGACTAAAAAATTTTAAACTTCCAGTTTAAAGTTTCTCTCCATTTCACGATCAGCTTTCCAGATTGAGGTAACTTCAGTATTTGATGCCATAATGTAGAATAAATGCTGCATTTCCTTGCAGGCTATATTTGCAAAACTTGAAAATTGAAGGATAAGTAAGTCACTAAAACTAGTCCTGGGTGTTCTTATTGCATGGTTTTACAAGTTTGCAAAATTTGCATAACACTTCAAAAATGGTAAACTTGAATTGATCTAGATAAATTTGATTCTGGGGTGTCTGTAGTGAAATAGAAAAATTCAGGTGGAATAAATTCTACTGTCTCATTGCCCAGGGCAAACAAAAGTATGAACCAAATTAAATTTTAAAAGCTGTTGGTATCAAATTCTAGCTATAGTGACTGAAGCTGGGATTCAGGCAACCCAAATTTTCTTGTGCCAGACTTGCTGCATGACTGAGGACAAGCTAGTTAAAATCAGTATGTCTGCTTCTTCATCACTGAAAGATAGTTATACTCACCCATCTTCATAAAGCAGTGTGAGAGCTACTGGTACACCCACTTCACTATAATACTAACATTAAGTGTTGTTTGAGGATTCTTAGAACTGGCATTCCACCTTGGTTCCTTATAAATGTTGCAGCATAGCAGCAGAAATTACTTTTTTGATTGCCTTGCTCACTTGCCTAAATTTTCCCCATGATGCTGCTCAATTAGTAGTGCTCCATAATGGACTTCAGGAATAATAATAATTACATTAGACAAATTAAAAAAGAACACCTTGGGGGAATTCTGCCATAAACTATGAAAAAAGAACTAGATTGCATGCAAAACATCAAAGTCTCCTCTTCCTGGGAGGTCTGATTTCTCTGTCCTACTTCCTCTGTAGCTGTCTTGGGGTGTGCTCTGAAGACTAGTATACCTCTCTGATCACAGGCAAGTCCATTTCAGAGCTGAAGGCCCCTCACAGGGAATACTCTACTACCAGAACTTCTCTCAGATTGATGGGGAGCCAGTTTGAGTGCCTCTCCAATCATAAGTGTAGCATGTAGCAATATGGCATAAGGAGATAGTCAGTCTGTCTCAAGTATCAAGGTCCCAACTCCAGGGCTGTATGCAGCTTTTGCAAAATGCATTAAGGGATCCAGCCGCTATGGGCATTTACAAGACTGCTGTTACCAATTAGGTTTGTTTCAATTATGTTTAATTTACTGGATTTGTTGGTTATGTGTCTGAAGCGTTAAGTACAGTCCATTACAAACCTTGCCAATCTGGCCAAATACATGGCACTTTTCTTTGACCTTCCCTTCTCTTACATAAACACATACCAACAAGTATACTTGTTTTGGGAGGGTGTTTTAAGACTCTCCAGTGCATCTGCTTCTTCCTCTGAAGAGAGGATGAGAGAACAGACATTTGACGTACATAGTCATGTTGCTTAATGCACTACTGGAAGGCACTCAGATACTATGGTGATGAGCATGGTATAAAAACCTATATAGACTAGAACGGTCAGACCACCAGTTTGCCCTGAAAAGAGTGAAGTGATGCATCAGTTTATCAGTTGAGTTATCAGAGGTTGAGAATCAACTGCCATATCCTGCTGTTGTCACTCGCAGGATGAACCTTTATCCCCATCTTGGACAACTGTGCTTAATATCTAGATTATCTTTGCACGAGTAACCTCAAAATAGTATGGCAAAAAGTTATTGTGACTTACCACTCTAGCTCAGGGGTGGGCAAACTTTTTGGCCTGAGGGCCACATCTGGATGGGGAAATTGTATGCAGGGCCCTGAATGTAGGGCTGAGGTGGGGGGTTGGGGTGCAGGGTGTGTAGGAAGGGGCTCAGCATGAGGTGCAGGGGGTTGGGGTGTGGCTGGGGGCTCAGGGCAGGGGTTTGGGGTGCAGGAGGGGGTGCAGAGTGCAGAAGGGGGCTCAAGGTAGGGGGTGGGGTGCAGGAAGGCTGTGGTAGGGAGCTGAGGGTAGGGGGTTAGGGGACTCAGGGCAGGGGGTTGGGGTGCAGGATGCAGGAGGGGTTTTGGGTACGGGCTCCAGCCCAGCACCGCTTACCTTGAGCAGCTCCAGGGTGGCAGCAGCTCGCAGCCAGGCTAAGACAGGCTCTGCGCCGCTCCTGGAAACGGCCAGCATGTTTGGTAGCTCCTGGGGGTGGAATGGGGCAGATTGCTCCACTGTGTGCCGCCCTTGCCTGTGGGTACCACCCCTGAAGCTCCCATTGGCTGCAGTTCCCCGTTCCTGGCCAATGGGAGCTGCGGGGGGGTGGTACCTGCAGGTGAGGGCAGCGCACAGTGGAGCAACCTGCCCCCTTCCCCTTCTGCCAGGGGCCACAGGGACATGGTGCAGGCCGCTTCCGGGAGTGGCACAGGGCCAGGGCAGGCAGGGAGCCTGCCTTAGCCCTGCTCTACCACAGGGCTGGCAATCCCGTGGGCCAGATTGAAAGCCCTGACGGGCCTAATCCGGCACGTAGACCGTAGTTTGCCCTCCTCTGCTCTAGCTCTAAATGTAGACTGGCACTTGCAGATTTGATGTGCTGCAGTGAAAATCAACGTGGATACATATATTTTGTTTTATCTAATCAATCTGTTTAACACCTACTTCTGAATAAGTCTCTCTAAAGAATTTCATTTTTACCTTCCCCTTTTTATTTTTCATTTTATTTTATTTACTTTTAGTGTAAAAGAAACTCCACACCAAAGATTTCCTGTCATCCACTTCAACCACTTCTGCACTGGATCATTCTTTTTAATTTTCTTGCTTTTTCTTTCCTGCCTTCCTCAACTAGCTAAATACTGTTCTGTTTTTAGTTTCTATTGCTACATGAAAGTTCTAGAGACAATGACAGATTAGGCCCTCTTCCTGTCTCACCTAGCATAATATCTAGGACTTAAGTCTAGAGTAGGAAAATATGTTGTGTTTAACAGCAATTCATCAGTGTATCTTTTTATGTGTTCAAACACACATTAGTGTAAAAGTATAATTAGGCAGGCCAAAAAAGATTTCAAAGAGCAACTAGCAAAAGAGACAAACTAACAGCATTTTTTATTTTAAATACATCAGAAGCAGGAAACCTGCCAAACTGTCAGTGAGGCATCTGGACCATTTGGTGCTAAAGAGCACTCAGACAAGATGGGTGCGGAGAAGCTAAATGAAATCTTTACATTGGTCTTTACTGCAGAGGATGTGAGGAAGATTCTCACACCTAAGCCATTCTTTTTTAGATGCCAAATCTGAGGAACTGTCCCAGATTGAGATGTCATTAGAGGAGGTTTTGGAACAAATTGATAAATTTAACAGTAATAAATCATCGGGGCCAGATGGTATCCACCCAAGAGTTCTGAAGGAACTCCAATATGAAATTTAGGACTACTGACTGTGGTATATAACCCATCGCTCAAATCAACCATTGTATGACTGGCAGATAGCAGCTAATGTGAGGTCGATTTTTAAAAAAAGGCTCCAGAGGTGATCCTGGCAATTACAGGCTAGTAAGCCTGTCTTCAGTACCTGGCAAATTGGTTGAAACTATAGTAAGGAGCAGAATGAGCAGACACAGAAATATGTTGGGGAAGCGTCATCAGGGCTTTTGTAAAGGGAATTAGAATTCTTTGAGGATGTCCTCAAATGTTGACAAGGGTGGTCCAGTGGATATAGTGTACTTGGACTTTCAGAAAGCCTTTGGTTGCATGGTCCTTCAGTAGAGGCTCTTAAGCAAAGCATGAGATAAGAGGGAAGGTCCTCTCATGGTTCAGTAACTGGTTATGATAGAAAACAAAGGATAGTTTTCAGAAAGGGGAGAGGTAAATAGTGGGCTCCTGAAAGGAACTGTACTGGGACCACTGCTGTTCAACAAAGTCATAAATGACCTAGAAAAAGGGGTAAACAGTGAGATGGCAAAGTTTGCAGGTGATACAAAATTACTCAAGATATTTACCTCACCAGCCTTGTCTCTTTTAATCTCTTTTATTGGACCAGCTTCTGTTTGACAGACAAGCTTTCAAGCCACACAGAGCTCTTCTTCAGGTCTGGGGAAGCCAAGATGGTCAGGGATGCAACCCCATGCACTGGGTGCCCCTAAACCTCTAACTTCCAGAAGCTGGAACGGGATGTTAAGGGATGAATCACTTAATTGCCCTGTTCTGTTAATTTCCTCTGAAGCACCTGGCATTGGCCGCTGTCGGAAGACGGGGTACTGGGCTAGATGGACCATTGGTCTGATCCAGTATGGCCATTCTTCTGTTTTTAACATAAGTGTGGCCTGGGTTTCATTTTTCATGCCTTTTCCCTTGTCTAGACAGTGTCTAACTGCTTGTGTCTCATTACTTAAATTGCCTGTTATTGAATTTGTACATCTTCCCTTTCATTCTGTTTCACTGTAACTTTCTAAATTTTTATTTTTAATATCTCCTCCTTCACTGTAAGCAGTGCCTCCAGCACTTTTCCTGGTACAGTTTTACAGCTGCTTTGTAACATAGGTTCTGTATATCTTGGCATTTAAGTGTTATCACTCTTCTAACAATAATCATTTCAAACATGGTTCCAACTAATACTTGAGCCTTATTGTAGACAGGACTAGAGCAGATGTTGATGAGGGTTGTTTTTTTTCATACTGGCTATCATTTCCACTCATGCTTACTAGACTAGAATAGGAAGGTTATGTGGTGCATTTCCTCACAGTTGTTCAGACTGTGTAGTCATCAGTTACCAATACAGTTGTTTTCTTCCCTATTCTCACCCACTTGGAAAGCTCCTAATACCATCAGCTTTTGTGGTAGGCAAAAGATCTATCACTTTACCCAATTGGACATATCCCATTTTGACAAACAAAGTCAAAAGCAGAAGAGAAGAAAAGTGAGGCTTAGTTTGCCTGACTTGTTTATGTGCGTGCTCAGTAGCATGCTTCAAAAGAAAAATGCTGGTGTCTGGATGACTGAAGATTGATAAATGGAAAAACCTCTACATTTCCAGTTTTGAAGCTAGTGTAGTTCAGTAGTGGCTAACACTTGTTACCATCACATAGTTACTCAGTTTCTTATGTGAAATGAGTTGATTTCATTCTAATTCCCAGTAGCCACATGTCCACATCACAAAAACTACCAATGTTGGCAATAATTGGCAGTGGTGGTGGCAATTTCAGATGAGGATGGAGACAAACATGTAATCGAGCTACTTAGGCCTTTCAGATTCAGGGGTGAGGTAAACAGGCAGAAATTGGCTTGAGAAAGTACTATATTGTTGCTGCCCAGGCTCTACCTGTTCCAGAGGACTTAAATGTCTAGAGTACCTGTAAATTATCACTAAAACCAAAACATTCTAAACTTTGTATATTATGAGGCCTAATTTAAGTGATTATTATTATCTCTAGATATTGAGTATTCTGTATAAAAGTGTGGCTTGGATTTGACATAAGGAATTTACTGCACAATTTTTGGAAGTGCTAATTGGATTTTCTCTCCGAACAGAGATGCTGCATAAATCTGAGAGGAAGTGGGGAGGGAGATATAGATTCTTAGTCTATAGTATGATTAGTGGTAAATGATCCAAAAGAGAGAGATGAGTCAAACTTATTGAATGGCTACTTGAAAAAATCCAAAATATGTAGCGTATAGCAGAGAAAATAACCATAAATTAAGTGGAAAGAGCCTTACTAAAAATTTACTAAGACTTTGGAGACTGTATCTTCATTTTTAATGTGTTTTTATAAAATTTTCAGTGTATTTTTTCTGTTTGCCTTGTGTGGTAATTTGCTTTGCAAGAACCTCTGCCTTTCTTTCTGAACTATTTTTCAATTTTTGTAGATGCATGCCTTGTAAGGGGAAAAAACCCTCTCTTCTGAAAGAGTTGGGGCCTTCACTCTGCTATAGCAATTGACTCAGGAAATATGGGTGAATTGAATTAACTTGGGGACTGGAATGTTCTGCTGGCATTTGAGATGTTAAAGGGAGTAGACAGGCCAAATTGCAAGAGGAAGAATGCTCAGGCAACCTGTAGGAATATATATATATATTTTTGACTAAGATAGCAATGTTAGAAGGGACAGGCTCATGGAATGCTGGTTTGGGTTAAAGGGCATCCAAAATGCATACACATGGTTTGTTTTTAAAAGAAATAGTTCACTGTAAGTTTTTTGGACTTGAATTATTTACATCTAGGAGGAATAGGCATTGAAATGAAGCTTGTATCACTTTCCTGTATGCAAGAATTTTTTTGTATCCTGCTTTGAACATAACTAATCAACAAATGTCTAATTGCAACAGGATCCTTGAAGATTCAGTGTTTCGTAAAAAGTATAACAGAAATGCCCTTCCATTGTAAAAAGTCCTTCATTGTTTACACTTGTAAATTATTCATAATCCTGGGTTCATGGCAAGAAAGGTTCCAGTGCTTGACTCTTGGAAAACTGCAGGCTTTGGCTTAAGCTTCAGACTTTCTTCCCTTTCTTTGCAGGTATGTTTGCAACTGTGGATGGCATTTCCCAGCGTGCTCCTGTGCACTGGTCAGAGAATGTGATTGGAGCAGCCCTGTGTTTTCCTTATGTAGTTGCTCTTGATGATGAGTTTATTACAGTGCATAGCATGCTGGATCAACTACTAAAACAGACCCTATCTTTTAAGGAAGGCCACATCCTACAAGACTTTGAAGGTATTAGCTAGTACACCTATCTCTTTGCATGAATTTCTTGGAACATTAAAAATCAAACTTTATGCTGACATAATATAAAGTAAAAAAAAAAAAAGGCTCCTTTGAAGATCAAGCTACTTCTCCTGAAACACACAATAATAGAACATCCTTAAATGTAACACTTTATCCTGCTGTTAATAGCATTTTCGCTAAAGAATATTATGTCCTATATTCCTATAAAACATTGCAAATGAAACTTCTTGTTCTTCTTTGAGTGATGGTCCTTATTGTATTCCACTGTGGTTATGCATGTGCATCCTGTGCCCAGAGCTGGAAAATGTGAAAGTGGTTTTTGTTGGTCTGCGCATGCACCTTGACTCACCTTGTGCCCCCAACTGAGGGGATAAAGTCGGGGCAGACCGACTTCCTCTCCAGTTCCTTCTCACTACCACATGATCCGGGTCAGAACCTTTGTCTGTAGCTTCAGCTTTGTCTCTTATGATAAGATTTTGCTTTGCAAATAGTTTTTAGTATCTTGTACTGTTAATAGTTTGTGTTTTCATAGAAATGAGGAGTCCGGTGGCACCTTAAAGACTAACAGATTTATTTGGGCATAAGCTTTTTTGGGTAAAACTACAAAAGCTTATGCCCAAATAAATCTGTTACTCTTTAAGGTGCCACCGGACTCCTCATTTTTGTGGATACAGACTAACACAGCTACCCCTCTAGTGTCTTTATAGTTTTTAATGCTAGATTCATCTTTGGGGGAACACTTCTTCCCCCCCCCCACCCCACCCCCCACCTTGTGTGGGTACTGGACTATGCACAGGACTCCGTGCTTCAAACTCTGTGCTTCCTGCCAGAAATCCTTCTGGATCAGCGACAACCACCAACACTGCCTGTACTGCCTCAGAAAAGCTCACATCACAGTGAGGTGCAATATCTGCCTCAAGTTCCCCAACCACACTGAGAAGAGCAGGAACTCCACCTTCAAAAACACCTCATGGAAAAGGCCATGAGGCCTCAATCAGAGCAGGCCAGGGAACTTTCTCCCCCTCCCCTCCCCGCCCTACAGTGGCCTTACTTAGCAAGGATTAAGCCTCCTGCTGCTAAGGCCAATGCTGGTGCCAGAGAATCTACCCTCATAGATCTCATAGCTCTTCTTGGGAACCTAGGAAGCATCTCAAACGCATGAGACTGCCTTTCTTGAAATCCACTTTGAAGAAGTCGCATTCAGCTCTGAGCAAGCCTAGCATCTCGACCCAAGAGGACTTAGAATGTACTAAGCCCCAGAGGCTTGACAAGAAAGTTCTTAAACATTGGGCTCTGTTGATAACAGAATGTGATCTGTTGGTACCGTCATGCTTCACACCTCCAAAACCTCTGGATCCATTAGCACTGACAAAGATGTTCACTGCCTGTCCATAGCGGTCTTCGACAGCATCCTCTCTGGCTCCAATGGTCTGGGCAAAGATGACCCTGCTTGCACTGGGGAGGACTGGGTCCCATGCTGCTGAACAGGACATCTTCACACTGGTGGATCCAGAATCCCCTCCATTGGGTCTTTCCAGAGATGTTATAACATCACCTGGGGAGTCAACAACTTGAAGTTCATTTCCTGCTCTTTCCTTGAGGTGCAGCTTCTCTCCAGTGGCACTGATGGTACCACCTCTGGAACCGGAATCAATTTTCTCCTCATCAGGAAACTTCAAAGCAACCGAGGAGCCTTTGTTTCCTCACCCTACGTATCCTCTGCTGCCCAAAAGAATTACACTACCTGAGGATTAATCTCCACATTTAGCTCTGAGCTGCTGTCGCCCCTTGCCAGGATGCCTCCACATACCCCTTTCAACTCTTCCTACTGGCCATATTGGGGCCCCTGGGACCAATACACCCCTGCAGAGTTGGTCAGATCTGCTAGGAAGTTACTCTTTGCCTCCCCTCAGAGAAGGAAGAGCATTATGTGCTGGATCCAGCAAGACTTCCGTCTTCATCTCCAGACAAACTAGTAACCCCTTTTGTCTCCCTCCCCACTCCACTCCTATTTACCCAAGTGAATTCAGGCAGTTCCAGGATCATCTTCGTAGAGTTGCTGGTGAACTACAGATTCCTCTTGAAGAGATTCAGGAATCCTAGAGCAAACTCCTTGACGTCCTCTACTCAGGTTGGTAAGGGGCTAATCTTTGTTTTTCACCCATCTCCCAACTCTTTGGTGGTCAAAGCAGCTTCCAAAAGGGCTAGACAGCAACCCCCGGTCTGCTTCTGTGGACAAAGAGGTTCAGTGTCTAGACCTGTTGGGAAAAAGATGTTCTTATCATCTAGCCTTCAGTTCAGGATAGCCAGCTACCAGGCGCTAATAGCCAAATACAGCTTCCTGAACTACTCCAAGTTTGCAGAGTTCACTGGCAGTCTTCCATAACAGGACAGAGCTTGTTTCCAGGTGGTGATAGATGAAGCAAATTAATAGCAAAGACGACCTCAAATTTGCAGTTGAAGCTGCTGACACATCCTGTAGAGCCATGGCTACTGGCATTGTTAGGTATAGAGAGACATGGTTGTGTGTGTCAGGGTTACCTAGAAAGATTCAGAATAGTGTGGAGGATCTCATCATCATCATCATCATCTTCCCCCCCGCCACACACACACACTGTTCCTCAGACGTTCTTGTCAACTGCTGGAAATGGCTTACCTAGATTATCACTACAAAAAGTTCTCTCCCCCCCCCCCCCCCTTGCTGGTAATAGCTCACCTTACCTGATCACTCTCGTTACAGTGTGTATGGTAACACCCATTGTTTCATGTTCTCTGTGTATATAAATCTCCCAAATGTATTTTCCACTGAATGTATCCTATGAAGTTAGCTGTAGCTCACGAAAGCTTATGCTCCAATAAATTTGTTAGTCTCTAAGGTGCCACAAGTAGTCCTTTTCTTTTTTCAACGAATCAGTTATTCAGTCAGAAGACTGACATCCTTCTATTCCTACCTGGAAGGACTATAGGGCTACCTCTGCCCCATGAATAAGGTTAAGATTTTGTCACTGTTTTTTTTTAGTAAAAGTCATGGATGGGTCGCAGGCAAAAAACAAAAATTCACTAAAGTCCGTGATCTGTCCTTAACTTTTACTAAAAATAACAGTGATAAAATGGGGCTGAGTCCCAGCCCTGCTGTGGGAGAAGGGGAGTCCAGCACCCACTGTGGCTGGGATCTCCAGAGTCCCCTCCCGGTGTTAGTAACAGCTGGTAGTTCCAGGGTCCCCCAGCTGTGGGGCCAGTGGCTGGGAGTTGCCGGGGCCCCAGGGCTGAAATGGAAAATGTCATGGAGGTCACAGAAGTCACAGATTCCGTAACCTCCATGACATAATCTTAGCCTTACTTATGAACTGCCACTCAACGGCAGCTGGTTTAAAGGACCTGCTTCCCTGCACCTTCTGCAATAGGTATGGCATCCCAATCTCAACCCCCCAAAGAAGCACTATTTTTGATGGGACCTCAATAGCTTCGAGCCACTAAGCCCAACATTACCCAGCCTTCATACACGATTTGGAGGTCGTCTAGTAAACTTTGTCAACGTGTGGAGTGCAGTAACAATAGATCAGTGCGTGCTGAATGTCATCCATTCTGGCTATATGAATGAGTTTGCATCCCTACCTCCTCCAGAGTCATCTTCCCATTTAACTTTTGGGGACTACTCTCAAGACTATTCTCAAGCAAGAGGCAGACTCCCTATTACTGTGAGGAGCAATAGAACATGTGTCCCCTGAATACCAAGGGGGCAGCTTTTATTTGACTTATGCCCTTCTTTTGGTGTATAAGGAAATATGGCGAATAATTCTCCACCACCACTACCACCCTAACTGCTTCATTTGTAAACTCAAGTTTCATATGGTTATGCTGGCCCCTGCTATGTCATTAATAAAAAAGGACATGGTTTACAGCTCTTGATATGAATGAAGTGAGCTGCAGCTCACGAAAGCTTATGCTCAAATAAATTTGTTAGTCTCTAAGGTGCCACAAGTCCTCCTTTTCTTTTTACTTTCATTTAGATATTCATCCCACTCTGCTTCCTAAAGTATTTGTAGTAGTGACTGTTCACACCAGATGCCTCGGTCTCATTGTCTTCCCCTGCCTTGATGACTTGTTCCTTGTTGCCAAGTCATGCCAGAAGGCCCATGCTACACCTTCTCTCTTCCCTGAAGGTCAGTGTAAATGCCAAAAAATTTATTCTCACCCCGCACAGTCTCTGGACTTCATTGGGGCCACCCTCGATTCGATTATTGCAAGGGCATACTTGCCAATGGACAGGTTTCAGACCAAGAATAATACTGTAGCCCCAATGGCAATCAACCCTCCAGTACTGGTCAAAACGTGCCTGTCTCTTCTAGGTCATATGGCATCATGCACTTATGTCACTGTGTTCGCAAGACTCCACCTTCGTTGCCTTCAAATATGGCTCCAGTTAGTATACTCTCCAAACTTCCATCCTATGAACTTCATGGTAGCAATTCCTACAAATGTAGTTTTCTTCCCTACTGTGGTGGACAAATCCTTCACAGGTATGAGTAGATGTCTCCTTTCTCCCCTCTTCTCCAAACCAGGACCATTACTACAGATGGATCCCTTTTTGGTTGAGGAGCTCACTTGGACAGCCATGCAGCACAAGGCACCTTGACGCCACAAGAGTCCATATTCTGAAGGTATGAGCAGTCCAGAAGGCATGCCGAGGCCTTTCTTCTGTTCATCCACACTCACTATGTCCTTATGCTGTCAAACAGTGTTATTACTGTCTTCTGCATCAACAAACAGGGAGGCTCAAGATCCATCTCCCTGTGCGCAGAAGAGGTCAGCTTGTGGAACTGGTGCATCGGCAACCAAGTCGCCCTGTCCTCAGCCTACCTTCCCAGAAAACAAAATACGCTCTGACTCCCTCAGCTGACATTTTTCAATTGACCACAAGTGGGAACTCCATGACTTGGTACTGCACAATATCTTTGATCTATGGGGAACCCCAATCAGAGATCTATTCACCTTCATAACTAACAGAAAATGCAAGACACTGCTGCAGAGGAGCCCTATGTCACCACTTCCCAGGTGAGAGATTTCTTCCTTGGTCAGATCACCTGATCTATGCATGCCTTCTGCTACAACCCCTGTCACGAGTTTTGTGCAAAAGCTGGTAGGACAGGGCATGAGTTATCCTGATTGCCCTGTATTATGTTAGACAGTTTTGGTTCCTAAATCTCCTGTGCACGTAATCTTGAGTAGCGATCCTCCTCCCAACATTCCCTGAGCTTCTGACCTTGTGGAATGGCAAGATCAAGCACGCCAATCTGTATTTGCTTCACCTCAGGGCTTGCTTTTTGGATGGGCATCATCCTTAGAACGTTTATGTTCCACAGTCATACGAGACATACTTTCTAACACTAGGAAGGATTCTACTAGGCAATGCTATCTGGCTAAGTAGAGATGATGTTTCTCCTCAGACACATCAAAGGAACATTATTTGCAGAAGATTCGGGTATCCCTCTCATTTTAGATTGTATCCCTTCTCTAAAGGCATCAGGGCTATCCATCAGCTCCTTACAAGTCCACTTGGTAGCGATTACTGCCTGCCATCCTCCTTCTGAGGATTATTCAGTCTTCACTCACCCACTGACCACTAGATTTTGGAAAGGCCTAATCAGAACCTTTCCACCTATTCACAAGTCTGCATCTCTGTGGGACTTCAACCTTGTTCTCTCAGCACTCTCAATGCCACCCTTTAAACTCCTAACTTCCTGCTCCATTTCCCTTCTCTCCACAAAAGTTGCATTCCTTGTATCCATTCCCCTCAGTCAGAAGGGTTGGTAAGCTTGGATCGATGATGGCGGATCCTCCTTATGCTGTATTCCATGAAGATAAAGTTCCGCTACGTTTATCCAAATTCACCTCCCAAGGTGGTTTTGAAATTTCACTTGAGCCACTTGAACCAATCAATCCATTTAGTTGTGTTCTTTCCTAAACTGCACTCTTCCTCAGAGGAACAGAGTCCACACCTTCGATGACCAGCAGTCCTTGGTGGTGGTCTTTGTAGGTAAAAGGCCAATTGGGAAGTCCTAGAGACTATTCATCATTATAACAGACTTGGGGGACAAGTGATCTCTACTCAGAGGATCTCCAAATGGATCTCTAACTGCATTCTACACTATCAACTCTCAAACCTTCCCCCCACCATGGGATAAGAGCTCATGCCATGAGAGCACAAGCAACAACTATGGAAATCGCTTCAGGAGGTATCCCTTCTTGATATCTGTAAGCAGCCACATGGGGCTCCATTCACACCTTTACGAGACACTATGCCCTAGTCCAGGACTCCTCTGCTGATGCCTCCTTTAGAAGGGCTGTCCTTTGCTTAGCCCTACCATTTACATCTTTGCACCCTCCTCCTACTTCAGTACTGCTCGGTAATCCCCTTCAGTGGAATACAATAGGGACCATCACTGGAAGAAGAAGAGGAGGAGTTTGTTTACATGTAATTGGAGGCTCTTTGAGATATGTAGTCCCTATCTGTATTCCACCACCCATCCTCTTCTCCTCTGATTCACGGTGGAGAAGGAACTGGAGAGGCAGTCGGTCTGCTCCGCTTTTTATCCCCTTGGTCGGAGGCATGAGGTGAGCCAGGGCACGTCTGCGCGGACCAATGGACGCTACTTTCAAATTCTCCAGCTACCGGCTCATGGTACGCATGTGTAACCCCCAGTGGAATGCAGATAGGGACCACACATCTTAAAGAACCTACAGTTAAGAGGTTCTTTGAGATTTGGTTTTGAACTGAATAAAGTAACACTTGCAAACTTTATGCACGAGTCGTCTGACTGACACCATTGTGCATAAAGTGGAGCAGGTGTCTGTCAGTGAAGCCCTCACTTGTAATTTGACAAAATTTTTTCCTTCAAAGGAACACTGTCAACTTAAAATTTTGTAAGTGAGTTGAGTAGTTTGTGGTAATACATTTGCAGATGACTCCTCCTCCTTCTCCTGCCACCTTTTGAAGGTGTGGAATCACACTTTATAACACTCTCTCTTTGGTTGCCATATAAGATAATCAGAAACAGGTTAAACAGGTTATATGTAAAAAGCTGTCAAATGCAGATAGTGGAAAAATTGAAAATACCGATGTTTTTTGTTTGGTAAACATAGGTCATATCCATAAAAATAATGCCAAAAAACTTTAGAAGTGATTTCATGTTGGCTTTCCTTTAGCTATGGATTTAGTTTCATATCTACATGGAATATAATATAGCTTTGTATATTATGGTAGAACTGTGCCAGGTTGCACTGGAATTTGTTTTCAAGTCTACAGTTCACTAAAGGATGAATCATCTAAGCAGTACCAACAAAGGCAATGTTACTGTCCATGTGAGCCAATGGAAGGCAAAACACTCTGACCACCCTCAGAACTCAGTAATATACCAGCAATAAGCTGTATGTTGCTCTAGGTCTGATTTAAGAGCTTGGTCACAGAACAAGGTGGCACTTGTGTTGAGAGTATGATGATTCTGGTTTTGGTTCTTCCCTAACAAATATGCAAATACAGGTTTGCAGGCTGTGCACCTTTTCCCCCCACTGTTTCATGATATACTAAGATGTACAGAAAACTTTCTGTACTAGAACACACATTAATGCCTGTGAAAACGAAGAAAATTGCTAGTTTGAGTGGACTTAATTTTTTTTGTAGTTTTTTTAGGGACAAACTTAAAGGTATAGTATAAAATCTGTTAAATATATTAATTGCAAAGATGAGCTTCAGAACTCGAAAACAAAATGAACAACTAAATTTTTATATCATTCTGTATTCTATAGCAATGTTAACGTTTAATTAAGTCTCTAGAAATCAGTTTTTTACTGTTCAAAATGCCAATTGCCCATTTTTTTGTCTTCTCTACTTAGGAAAGGTATTTGTAGCTACCAATAAAGGTGTGTACATCTTGATGCCATTACCTTTAGAAAGACAGATTCAGGATCTTCTAAGCAGCCACAGAGTGGAAGAAGCCCTAATCTTAGCAAAGGCAGCCCGAAGAAACATTCCAAAAGAGAAATTTCAGGTTTGTCCTACCTTGAACATATATGAAAATATGTGGAAGCTGGTCCAGTGGCAAAGAAGTAACTGAAGAGTGAGAGCTCTCTAGGGAGAAATCTAATATCTCCTATTCCTTGGGTCTGAGGAGATAGGTATGCTGCTGCGTTGACTCCGGGTTGGAAGTGATTTGAGTTGGCAGTGCTGAGTACTGCTGCCTGGATGTCTTCTCTCTCTACAGTTGTTTCTCAAAGGTGTTAATGGCTTAATTAAAAGATGGTGCATGTTCTATCATGCTGGTAAAGAGATCTTGTGCTATAGAATTGAGATGGTGAGAGAATAGATAGAAAAGCGAATGATGGGTTGTGCTTTTTATCTAGGCTCTCCTTGTGCAGGGGAGGTTGCCTCATCATGGTAAAATCATCTCACTTTTTCAGTGTTGTGATTTCTTTGAAATCATGGTCTATAGAGAATATAATTAAAAAAACAAACCCCAAACCTGAGAATAAGTGAAGAACCACATGGGCAAACTTTTGTAAAGTACTTGTCCAACTATTTAACACATTTTTAAGACTACCGAACAAGACATTTTGGTTTTAAGGAGAAAAAACAATTGTGTGGATGTGGATCAGTTTCTTTTGCAATCTTTGTTTTTAGTTTATGAAATCTTATCACTTGGGTAACATTTTCTAGATTTTAAGGCATTCAGAAGGGACCATTGTGATAATCTAGCCTGACTGCTACCTAATACAGGCTATAGGACTTGCCTGGATTATGTTCTGCTTCAAGTCTAATAATTTGATTGGATTAGAACATATCTCTTTAGAAGAACATCCTTTCTAGATTAAAAAAATTCCAGTGATGGAGAATTCACCACAACCCTTGATAAGTTGTTCCATTGTTAATTACCCTCACTATTAAAAATAAACACAAAATGCTCCTTTTTTCTAGTCTGAATTTGTCTAGCTCCAACTTTCCATCTAAGGGTCTCAATGCTTTATGAATACGAATGCCTCACAAACATGCAAACAGGGCTGGTGCAAGGATGTTTCACGCCCTAGGCGAAACTTCCAACATGCGCCTGCCCACCCCCCACCCCAGCCTTGCGGCAGCTCGGCACCCCCCTTGCGGCAGCTCCCTGCCGACCCCTCCCTCACCTCAGCCTGGGGAGCCGTGCGGCAGCTCCCTACCGCTCCCTCCCTTGCCCCGGGGAGCTGCGTGCAGCAACTCCCCGCCCTAGCTCACGTCTGCCCTGCCTCCTCCCCGAGCACACCGCCACTTCTCCCGCCTCCCAGGCTTGCGGTGCCAATCAGCTGTTCAGCACACAAGCCTGGGAGGGAGAGAAGCAGAGCAGGGTGGCGTGCTCAGGGGAGGAGGCGGAGCAGAGGTGAGCTGGGGCGGGGAGTGGCAGTACTGTGCGTGGGGCTCCCCCCCCCGTTACTTGCTGCAGGCGGCCCTCCCCGCGCCCCCCTGCCCCAGCTCACCTCCGCTCCCCCGCCTCCCCAGAGCGTGCTTTTGGCCGCCCCCAACCACTTGGCGCCCTAGGCAACTGCCTAGTTCGCCTAGTGGTTGCACCGGCCCTGCATGCAAAGTAGGCTTTATGCCCATTTCATAGATGCAGGGTGGATGGAAAACTAAAGCAAAGGTGACCTAACCACGTGAGGTGATGGCAGTCAGGAATAGAAAGAACCCATGAGACTTGACTCAGGCACCTGTTGTAACCCCTGACAAATACAATATTAGTTACACATGTATATGTGTGGTTTAGTGATTTATGGCTGCGTTTTTAAAAAGTGAAATTCAGTGCTGACTTAAGAGAATACTAGATAATATTTAGTCCTGCCATGAGTTCAGGGGATTGGACTATATGATCTCTCGAGGTCCCTTCCAGTTCTATGATTATTGGCTGTCAGCAGAAGCATTCATGAGGCAGAATCTCAGTTGGAAACTACTTTCGTTGAGCCATTGAGATGAGTGTATCTGTTCCCTTCCTCCTACATGTGCATGGGCTTCTAAGAGCAGGTCCACACTTAAAATGCTGAGCTGCAGGCTTTGATGAAGACACTACTATACCAATGGGAGAGCTGCTTCTGTTGGTGTAGTTAATCCACTTCCATGAAAGGCAGTAGCTGTGTTAACGGGTGAAGCCCTCCTATTGATATAGCACTATCTATACCAGGAGTTAGCTTGGTATAACTGTGTTGCTCAGGGGTGTGGATTTTTCACACCCTTGAGCAATGTAGTTTGTAGTGTAGATCTGTCCTCGATGACAGAGTGGAGTAAATATACTATAAACACTTTTTTGTAGTGGAAACCCAAATATACGGAGAAGTAGCATTAAGTCACCACAAATGTGATAAAAGAACATATTTCTTTAAAAAAAGGGGGGGGGGGCAAAAAAAGCTTCAAGTGCTCAAGAAATTAAAATGTAATAAAACATTGACCCAATAAATGAATCTGTTCGAAATAAGATTTATTTTTATCCAAGTAAATGACATTTTCAAACTTGTAGAAATACATCATTATTCCAAAAAGAACAGGAATACTTGTGGCACCTTAGAGACTAACCAATTTGAGCATAAGCTTTTGTGAGCTACAGCTCACTTCATCGGATGCATTCAGATTTTCCACTGCATGCATCTGATGAAGGGAGCTGTAGCTCACGGAAGCTTATGCTCAAATAAATTGGTTAGTCTCTGAGGTGCCACAAGTACTCCTTTTCTTTTTGCAAATACAGACTAACACGGCTGCTACTCTGAAACCTATCATTATTCAAAAGCACCATTAATTCTTTCTCTGACTTCCTTCTCTTTGAGCCTTCCTTTGGTCACTATAATGACATTCAACAGTGGGTTTTTCTCAATAGTGTGGAAGCATCTGTAATTCAGTGGGCAAGTTAATGATAGAACGGCAAGGGAGGTGTCTTTTTTTGTTTTTAAAAAAATGCACAATTATAATTTCAATGGTGTCGCCTTCTGTAGCAAGGCAGTGGGGGAATCGCTGCCCTTCCAAGTCCTCCGGTTGGTGGAAACTGATAATACAGTGTCATTGGAAATGGGTTGAGTTTGGTAGCATTTGAAAGCCCTTTCTCCCAGGAACGTAATGGTCCCAAACATGGCAAATCTCAAACAATTATGTAAATATATTCAAGAAAATGTTCAAAATCAACTTTTTTTAGTGTATTTTAACACAGACATGTCAAATATTTAGTCCTCGCAAAGTTAAATTGTGGCTTTCGACTGACAGTACTGTATCAGTTAATGTTCAGAATGTGATACTTGATTGATTTTTTTTTTTTTGATGTTATAGATGGTTGTAAATGGAAGGAGAGCTTCAAGTTCATTTGTCATCACTGGCAAAAAAAGTGATTCAGTGGTGTGTGTGTGTGTGTGTGTGTATATATATATATATATAAGAATTTCAAAAAGGAAATTGGGTTGTTAAAAGGTCACCAATTCCCTTGTGTGCACTTGGTTTAGATGAAGCCCTAGAACACGAAAACAGAGTGGTGAAAGCCTTTGGGAGATTGGTGGGGTATGACACTGCATCAGTGCTGCTCTTCTCTCTCTCCCCCCCCAATCCCCAGAACTCAGATGAATTTTGAACAAAACTTTAAGCATAGCAGAAGTAACCATGCACCATTTAAACCAGTGGTGGGCAGGCCACAGGTTGCCCACCGCTGATATAAACTCCTTAGGTGCTGTTAAATGCCAGGAAGGGGCAATTTTAAAGCTACAAGATGAACTTACTCTTACTAGCAACCCATTCGCATATAATTGACTGGTGCTCATTAATGTCAAGATGGAAGGCGTCTTCAGTGATAGACAGCTACAGGTTATTAGTTGAATGGCTACTTTGGATCATGACTTTGATGGAGTCTTGGATAATTCTTTGAGTTTTGAGGACTTCATACATCTGTGGGCTCCAGGTAAGAACAGACTAAAGCTGTGCTCAGGTACAAAGAAGAAAGTCAGTGTGAAGGTGGTCGGGACTGTTACAGAGCTAACTGCAGACAGATCACTGTTTGCTCATGTCCTGGTTGCATCCTAATCTGTGTGGTCTGATCTGTATGAGACTTTGGGGAAGTACAAGTTCTTCATGGTACCACAATATATGTTTGAATGTGATGGAACAAGGTGTGACACTGTATAAAAGAGAGGTGACCATGTTTTCACTAATGTATCATCATTGATATATCACCACTGTTGCACAATTGTGATAAATCAGGTAAGGTATCATCGGAAAAGTTATAGTCTGCTCAGTATGATTAGCCTGTTTATATGCATGTCATTATTGAATATGAAGTTATGAAACTTTGCTATGTATTTGTATCTCAAACCTGTTGTGTTTGAGGGTAACACCCTCAAAACAGATTTACATCAAGCCTAGCCAGCCTGCTTGATGGTCTATTAAGGACAATCACCTCTTCCAGGGACGACTCCTGATGTCTCTTCAGGCAGCACGTAAGCAATGCTTGCCTCATGTCTCAGCAAGGCACATGTGACCCAGGACTCCATGTTTTGCCATTAACTTTTCATGTACCTAAACTGAGAGTATAAATTGCAGACTGAGACATTCATTTGTCTTTTTTTCCTGCTCCACATCTTTGGATTATGATTTCTAACAAAGAAGAGCTTTGAACAATGGACTGAGGACCCCAATGTTTGGGATGAACTAGAGAGACTTATTACAAACTGGCAGATTTAACATCACTGGTGGTATTATGATCTACAAACTCTGAACTTAACTGTAATTATACAATTCATTTTAACCTCTTAACTCTTCTTTTCTATTAATAAACCTTTAGTTTTTAGTTACTAAAGGTTTGGCTGCCAGTATGGTTTTTAGCTAAGATCTGAAGTATATTTTGACCAGGGGTGTATGTGTGGTTTTTGGAACTGGAAGAACCTAATACATGTGATTTTGGGGTTTTAATAATCATTTATTGCAGAAGTCTGGTTTGTCTGGATGGTGCATGAGGGGTTAGAGTGTCTGAAACGGATTGTCTATGGCTTCATAATAACTAGT